TTAAATAATTAATTAAATTCCAGAAATTAATAAAATCTTTAGAAAATCATATCTTTTAATCCGTAACTCGGATTAAAATATTTTCAACATCAAAGTTGCTCAGAACGACGAGATGATTCCGGATACGCAGCTCGTTCGTCCGCCACGCGTCCCTAGCATAATGAACCTGCAACATTTCACCTCCGGTTCATCTGTCCAAAAACGGGAAACACCGGGGATATTTTCCCGGATGTTTCCCCCCTTCACCGGTATCACCTATCCCTGCGTTAGATCACCTCTAGCACCGCATTTGTCATGTTATGCTTTGATTGCTCTGTTATTTATTATGTTCCCCCTCCGTTACTTTTTCCGGTAGATCCCGAGGCCGCTGCCAGTACCCCGTGTGATCGACTACGGTGTTGACGACCCCTCTCTCTTGCCAGAGCAACCAGGCAAGCCCCCCCCCTGATCACTAGATATCGCCTATTCTACTCTATACTGCTTGCATTAGAGTAGTGTAGCATGTTACTGCTTTCAGTTAATCCTATACTGCTGCATAGCGTGTCCTTGCTACTACTGTTGTTACCTTACCTGCAATCCTACATGCTTAGTATAGGATGCTAGTATTTTTCATCTGTGGCCCTACATTCTTGTCCGTCTGTTGTGCTATACTATCGGGCCATGATCACTCGGGAGGTGATCACGGGTATATACTTTACATACATACATACTATACAGATGGTGACTAAAGTCGGGTCAGCTCGAAGAGTACCCGCGAGTGATTCACGGATTGGGGGCTGAAAGGACCTTTGTCCCGACGGCCCTCTGTGTGGATCTTTGTGGCGGAGCGACAGGGCAGGTTGAGACCGCCTAGGAGAGAGGTGGGCCTGGCCCTGTTCGGCGTTCGCGGATACTTAACACGCTTAACGAGATCTTGGTATTTGATCTGAGTTGGCTACGAGCCTATACGCACTAACCATCTACGCGGGAGTAGTTATGGGTATCCCGACGTCGTGGTATCAGCCGAAGCACTTCGTGACATCAGCGACTGAGCGGCGCGCGCCAGGTTGGACTGCGTTAACGCAACTTCCTTTGTAATGGAGGTTGCTAGGTCTGCTCACCGGCCGCGTACGGAACGTGCAGGTGTGCTCAGGGCGATGGGCCCAGACCCCTGCGCGCTTAGGTTTAGACCGGCGTGCTGGCCTCTCCGTTGAGCCTAGGTGGGGTTGCGACGTGTTGATCTTCCGCGGCCGGGCATGACCCAGGAAAGTGTGTCCGGCCAAATGGGATCAAGCGTGCTGGGTAAGTTGGTGCACCCCTGCAGGGAAGTTAATCTATTCGAATAGCCGTGATCTTCGGTAACAGGACGACTTGGAGTTGTACCTTGACCTTATGACAACTAGAACCGGATACTTAATAAAACACACCCTTCCAAGTTCCACAGACAACCCGGTGATCGCTTTTCTACAGGGCGACGAGGAGAGGATCGTCGGGTAGGATTATGCTATGCGATGCGACTGGAGATGCTACTTGGAGATGCTACTTGGAGATGCTACTTGGAGATGCTACTTGGAGATGCTACTTGGAGATGCTACTTGGAGATGCTACTTGGAGGACTTCAGTCTACTCTCTTCTACATGCTGCGAGACGGAGGCTGCCAGAAGCGTAGTCTTCGATAGGACTAGCTATCCCTCTCTTATTCTGGCATTCTGCAGTTCAGTCCACCGATATGGCCTCCTTACACATATACCCATGCATATGTAGTGTAGTTCCTTGCTTGCGAGTACTTTGGATGAGTACTCACGGTTGCTTTCTTCCCCCTTTTTCCCCCTTTCCTTCCTTTCTGGTTGTCGTAACCAGATGCTGGAGTCCAGGAGCCAGACGCCACCGTCGACGACGACCCCTACTACACCGGAGGTGCCTACTACTACGTGCAGCCCGCTGACGACGACCAGGAGTAGTTAGGAGGATCCCAGGCAGGAGGCCTGTGCCTCTTTCGATCTGTATCCCAGTTTGTGCTAGCCTTCTTAAGGCAAACTTGTTTAACTTATGTCTGTACTCAGATATTGTTGCTTCCGCTAACTCGTCTATGATCGAGCACTTGTATTCGAGCCTTTGAGGCCCCTGGCTCGTATTATAATGCTTGTATGACTTATTTATGTTTAGAGTTGTGTTGTGATGTCTTCCGGTGAGTCCCTGATCTTGATCGTACACATTTGCATGCATGATTAGTGTACGATTGAATCGGGGGCGTCACACCGATTTTCGCCGGCTTGGGCCGAAAACAGCGCCGGTGGACCCAGCCCGAATCCGGCACGCTGGGGGGGCGCCCGGGGGCGCCGAGCGAACTGTTTTGGCGCGAAAAAGCCGCGGGCCCGCCGCGTCAGCGACACGGCTCTCTTCTCGGCCCTTCGTCGTCCTCATCGCCTCGTTTCCCGCGGCGAATCAATGCCAAAGCTGCCGCGCGCTGCCGCGCCGGTCAGCCTGCACCATTGATGCCTCACGGGCGGCGCAGTGAAGACCGGACGACGTGCGTCCCTCGCCCTCCCTCACCCGCCATGCGTACACATAGTGGCACGCGTGCCTCGGCCTATATATGACGCGCCCCGGCGCACTCTGCGACTCATACTCTCCCGCCGTCGTCGTTCCTCCCTCTCCTCTCCTCTCTTTCGCCGTCTCCAGTTCACACCCATGGCCGAGCGCTTCCCAGGCGACGGCGCGGCGGCGAACGGCTTCGGCCACCGCCATCTTCATGAAGACGCGGCTCGCCTCCTTTACGAGGCCGAGTACCCGGTCCCGCCGGACATGCGGGTGCCCGGGGCGTGGAGGATCAGCGCGGGCAGCGTGCCGGTGCCCCCGGTACCCACCGGCGCGGCGCGGCGTGCGGAGATCGCACGCATCCGCTCGAACCTGCCGCGTGCGGCGAGGGAGGGGCCACGGTACGTCCCCGACATCCCGCTCTGGGACCCTTACTTCCGCCGCCGTCACGCCCAGCAGCTCGAGGCCACCAACGGCGTCGTGCCCTCCAGCAGGCTCAACGCCGCCGGCCGGCGTCGGTGGTGGGGCGTGCCCGGGCGCATGTTGGAGGCCGTCCTCGAGTACATCGAGGGCGGCAACACGCCGCGCCTCGAGTACCCCGCTCCCCATTCTTTCTCACGTCGCCGGGGAAGCTCCTGGACCCCGAGGCGCATGGAGACCGGGGGGTCCTCCTCCTCGTCCGGCGGCTCGCCCTGCCTCCGCCCCGTCAAGCCGGAGCCCCAGGGCACGCCGGTCAGCGCGCGCACCCGCAGCTCCGGCGTCCGCATCGGCGCCAACGCCTCTCCACCCACCGGCCGCTTTGTCCTCATCGAGCCCAAGCCGGAGCCCGGCCTTCCCGCGGAGTATGAGGAGATAGCCCGGCGCGGCTTCTCCGACGAGGACGCCATGCGGTGGGCGCGGGACGACTACCTCCGCGACGAGATGGTCTGGCAGCGCCAGGCCCTGGAGGAGATCGCCGCCCGCAAGCGTGGGCGCGAGGACGAGCACGACGTCGTGGTCCTCGACAGCGACGACGACGCCCCTGGACCGTCCAACCCGCCGCGCCAACCGGAGAGGGATGCAGCAGGGACGGCGGAGGCGGAGGCGTGGGCGGCGGCGACGACGACGACGACGACGATGACGACGACGACGGTGACTACACGCGGTTCTACAGCCTCCTCGGCATGTAGAACCGCGTGGGCGGGCGGCGAGGCTGGCGGCGAGGGAGACGGCGGGGGTAGCCCGCGGTAGTTTTTTTTCTTTTTTTTTAATATGTTTAAGTTTGAACGAACTCGCCGATGTTTGCGTTAAATTTGAGTCGTTTTTGCGCCGTATTTGACTTTTTTGACTAACCGTGGGCGCCGCGACTGGGGGGCATCACGCCCCCAGTGCGCGGTTTAGCGCCGGTGCGCCCCCAGGGGCGATTTTTTGCCCCTCCTAAGGGGCCAACGACTGGAGATGCCCTAAGAGCAACAACTCCTTTTAAAAACTTCCCGTAAATCAGATGGGAGAGTTCTAAAACTTCCCCTAAAATTGTTCTTACCGGATGATCATAAAAAATAGGGGAGGTTGTCCCGAGCAACTTTTGTCAGTCCCCTTAACTTTTTCCCCTAAATCTATTTTTATTTTATTTTTCAAAGTGAACAAAAATTAGATAATTGCCCACAAGGGGCAGTGTGAAGCGGTGCGAGCGAGCGGCATGCGGCGGCATCACTCCGGCGGCGTTTACAGGAAGGTGGGGCAAAAAAGTCTCTCCTACAGTTCTCGTAAAGTGGTCATGAAGATCTTTCCGTAAACCAGCGGGAAGAAAGGGCCAATTTTATCAGATCATGTATTGTTTACGGAAATTGTTGGAGAGATTTTCTTTGCCCCAACTTTCTGTAACTGGTGATTATTTTAGAGATACGGAAACAATACTCTAAAACCGAAGCTATGGTTGGGTTATTCCGCTAAGGTGTCAGAATAAAATTATCAGCGGCATAGGTGAGAGGAGAGGGGGGTGAGTTTACAGCAACAGCAAGGCTAGATCGGACACCAAAAGGCGTGAGGCGGGCGGCGAAGGGAAATGGGAGGCGGAGCGACCGGAAGGCGAAATGGCGCAAATAGGTACCATTTGAGAGAACTCATGATGTAAGCGTTTACTAATCGTTGGTAAAAAGTTCATGAATAAGTCTAGTAAAACCAACAAAAATCATGTGAATCAACCACTATACTGAGATTCCATTAAACCAAGCGGGTCACTGCATTAAGACAACACAGCTGGTCCAAACCACAAGAGGACCCGCCAACACTGATGTTGGCAAAATAGAAAGTTGCATTGCAACAAAAGCATATAGAGCGCCAAAATAGTACTGAAACACAAAACATTGAGTCTGGCAACATGCATCTTGTTACAAACTAAGGCACCCGACGCGCAGTCTAGACTAAATACATCTCGAACGATACATGACCTCTAGAAAGTGGACACCACACCACCTGCGTCTCAAATGGGCTGAAATTGAGAACTATGTTTCAGGGAAAAGAGGGATGACACTCAAGCTTAGTGGCATTCGTGATTTGTGGTACTCTGAATCGGGATCCACCGACAGCCAATACAGATGCCACATACACTCTTCGCAATGTTGGTCGGCTTCGGGGATAAAGTAGCACCCGCATGTTGTACAATGTTTAGCCTGCAAGAACAAAAGAAGACGTCAGACCTCATGCAAACCAAGTGTGAACGATTAATGCCAAAATGCTGAAGTGGAGGAAGATCACTGCCCACCATTGGTCAGTGTACCTTCTCGTTTAAGAACATTGTGTCAAACAGAACCAAGGACAAACAAACAGGGGGTACAATGCAACGCCCTCCTACAGTACCAACTAGTGAGAAACTAGGACCGTATATTACCCCCTTTGCTTTCATAAAACTATTGTTTTGGACAATGGCATGGACTTCAAACACAGTTTTGACCAGTACTCCCTCCGTTCCTAAATGTAAGTCTTTGTAGAGATTCCACTATAAACCACATACGGATGTATATAGATGCATTTCAAGTTTAGATTCATTCATTTTGCTCCGTATGTAGTCCACCTTGTGGGATCTCCACAAAGACTTATATTGAGGAACGGAGGGAGTAGATTTTATTATAATATCTTCGTTCATAGAATCAAAACATTTATATCGTGAAAGTACTGTCCTTGACAAATTTATGTACATTATTTTTAAGTATTTAATTCAAATATTTCTTAACATATAGGTACTCTGTTTTGGAAGTTTGACTACTTGTGCGTATATGAGACTGAAACGACAGCTTTTAGGGAAACGAATAGGCTAGAAATTACTTATCCTCTTACATTGGTGATATCGACTACAGTTAACTTGCTAAATCAATAATAATAACAACAACAATAATAATAATAATAATAACAGAGCAAACTAGCTCACCGAAGAAAGAGAAGGCACATGTCAAACATCACGGAGCTAACCAGCAAAATATATACGGGAAGGAGCGGTGTGAAAAAGTAAACTGCACAAGTTTATGCAATGTTGTTGGTAGTTTCGTAGTGGTATTTTCAAATCAGACCCGTGATTGCTTTGGGAATTATGATTGTCAATTTTCTTAACTTCAGCATACATGCCACAGGAGGAGTAAGAGTAAGTGATGTTCTCTCACTCATAGGGTATATAACATTCAAATATAAATCTAGCAAAATCTTCAACAGTCTAAATTAATCAGTCGGAGCAAAAGCTGCCGTAGCCCCAAATTATATAGCTCAACAACTATGGTAATAGAAAGTTGAAATATCATGTATCGCCTCATGACTACAATACAAACATTGTTTTCCTGCCAATCCATTCACATGACTACAAGAAAATAGAGAATTACTGAAAGCATGGCTGAAGTTATACATATGTGGATATGCCAAAAATCTATAACTCACAGAAGATTCCTTACATTGCACATAGAAATTGTACCTGAGAAAACTGAAATAAACAATACTCACCTCAGAGGTAAAACTGCTCTTCAAACTCAACAGATTTCCTGTGTATATAGCAAACAATCTGGAGCCTGCCATCTGAAATTCAGTATAACTCTCTGAAACCGGATCATATATTCGCAGCAAATCTGATGTGCCGATGGCTATTCTGCCGTCGTCTAGAACCAGCAAGGGTTGTGCAAAGAGATTTTCGTATTGAAAACCAATGCTGTACTTTCTATCCCAGAGACATTTCTCAATGTCAACCAAAAACCACAGGTCCAAAGGGTAACCCATAGGATCGTGTACCATAACCAAGAACCCATTCATATTGACCAACGAAAGTTTACGGAATAGATCACTGTAATCACACCTTCCATTACCGGCCTCGATAAAGTTACGCACTTGGAGTGGACCTCGGAGCGTGCCCATCCACTCCTCTGCCTCGAGGTCGAAACAAGCAATGCTACATGGCTCGACGCGGTCTCCACTATATGTAAAGCGGTGGCTTCCGAAATCCAACAAGAAGTAGACAACTCCATTGACAACCACACTTTTCTTCGAGCCACTAGTGACAGGGCACGGAGGACATGGTCTCTCCCTCCATCTTGCATGACGATTGCCGCCGCCACGGCCACCACCAAGGGTGATGACCTCGGAGATCATCGGCTCGGAGCCGTGATACGAGCTATCGACGCTAACGCAGCGGAGGGCCTTGTACTCTCCCGTGGAGACAACCTGTCCCAACTCAAATGCATAGGAGAAGAAAGCTTTGACATGCGCGTGCTCCTGTGCGCGCTTGTAGGGCAAAGCCAGAGTATGCCCTGTGGCCGGGTCAATTACGTGACCGCTTGTGTGGCAGTCCTTCTCTCCGGTGACACAGATGAGATCCAGGCGTGTGCACAGCAATGTGGCATCCTCTATGCTGGTGGTCATCCGCCTAACGACATGGCCAGACAAGTCCATTATGTTAATGGTCCCTCCCCCGTCTCCGAGCAGATCACGGATGCATGTGACAATGAGCGGCCCAGGGTGCTTTGACTTGTGCGCTGCGATGAAGAGCGGGTCGGACAGGAAGGACCTCCAGGATCGGCACATGGCTCGGAAGCGGCAGAGCGTCTTTACCGGCAGGCGCAGGAGGATGTCACGCAGCACATCTTCAGGCAAGACAGCGGCACCGGCAGTGGGCTCGGCTTGACTACTACCCTGTGCAGCACACGGTGTTGGCATTGCCATAGCCGACGATGCACGATCTGCAGTTAACAGGGCACCTGTTAATTTTACTCGCCAATGTGGCGACTGACAAACAAACGCCCAAAAACATCAAAGTTTTACTCAGGCCATGTTTGGTTAATCCCCTCCCCAAGTGTGACTGAAGTTGTAAACGAGACGGCATATATATGCGAATCAAGTGGTAAATAAAATACTACAATATCCTACCCTTCCCCCGTCGTCTCTCGCGTGAGCTATGAACCGAAAGCTGGTTATCACAAGAAACGCGGAACCTAAGCCCTAAACCTAAATGTGTAGGGTTAGGAAATCAAATGGTCAGCAGCGTTG